AATTTTTTAATCTATTTTCCATATTTATAAAGTTCTAAATTATCAAAAAAAATAAATAAATTCACAAAAGTCTCGTATATTCAAGGCTTCATGAAGAAGCCTTGCACGATTTATACGCCCACCACGATGGCACCGTTTAAGTTTTAATGAAGTTAGTTTATCTAATAAAAAAATCTTGAATGTACATATTATTAATTTTACTATATTTTTATATTTTTTCTTGAAACATTATTTTAAAAAGTTCAATAAACATTATTTAACCATTAAAATACTATAATTTTGAAGTTCCATTATTGATTATAAACATAAAATCATAATTAATAAAGAAAATGAAGGTATTAAAAAGGAAAAGAAAAAAAAACTCTTGGGAGAGGAGGATTTTAAATAAAAATAATAATTTAGTAAATATAATTTGGGTATTAATTCTAAAATAAGGATAAAATTGTCAAAAAAAAAAGTTTCTCATGTACATGTATAAGGCTCATAAACTATGTAAGAACTGGTCGATTGAAGTAGTCGGGTCGTATGTGTAGGTTTTAAAAAAAAATTCACATTGAATTTGAATTTCAAAATAAAGGAGCAGTTATGTAACTGCTCTCCCGCGAAAATGTCTCCACTCTCTCACTAGGTGTGTGTCACACGGGAGGTTTTTTCTTGAAAAACAGAGAGTTTCATGAAAAAAACTATCAGAGAGAATCGAGTTGAATTGTCTCAAAATTCTTCACCATTTGAAGAATTCATGCGGTGAATCGTGAGATTTTTCCGTTCGTGATGGATCTCTAACTGATTCTAAATATGTGACATGCACATAAATAAATATAAATATATTTTACAAGTGGCACATTTTATATGAAATAAGTATGGAAGTTCTCCATGTTGCAGGGATTGGAAATTTTCCCTCTGTTAGCGATAGTAATAGAAGTTCGAACCTTTTATAACTATTTTCTAAAGGTTGGGACAAAACTATCACTTCTTGAAACTTAGGAACTAATAAAAACTTATCCTCAAATTCAGAGATCAAAAGTGTATTTTCTCTTATATTTTTGTTGTATTAAGTTTAAACTGCAGTTTGTGCTAAAAAAAAGTCGAAATAATAAGTATAAAGTATGTACTTTAAATAAAATAAGATATTTTTTAAAATTAAAAATCTGTTCAAACAAATGGCTCAAACTTCACCACTAGGTCATCACTTTTAAAGGGAGCGGAGATTCGACTTCGTACCATAAGAAAAGTGACAATTACTTGTTGGGAGGTAAAGCTACAACATGTCACGTGGATCGAGAACCATGGTTCACGACCAGTCTTATGACACCGATTTGCAAAGCTCAATGAAGGACACTTGAGCTTCAAACGAGGCACATGCACCTTAGCATGCATGTCAAATTCGAGCTGAGAATGTGACAACTTTGAGAAACAATTAGAAACTCTTCAACAACCTTAGTAACGAATTAAGAGTTGTAGTAATTAACATAAATATTCCCTTTAACCTCTATAAATACGTCATCGTTCTCACTCAAAGATACAAAATATAACTGGACTGACCTAGAGATTCAGGCATTAAACTAAACATGAGCGTCAAAATGTTTGTTATCTTCATGCAAATATCCTTGCATAACTTGCTCTGCATAGCTCAATCGATTAATTCATCGCATATCTCGCATCATTCGAAATTTAGTATATTATAAACATTACTCATTAATAATTATTGATGCGTGGATTTTGACCCTCCGGTTCTTCTTCTCGCACACACCTAACTTGATAATAAGGGAACCGATACTTGCAAAACCAAACCGATCTAAACTGGTGTGACCTCAGTCACACGGGCTCCGATGCTTAAGTTAGCGAGGGAGAGTTTAGAAAATAGTGAGCTAGAGATAAGTCATTTGCCTCTTCAGGGTTGGATCTCACTGTTACTTATAGCCGTGAAGATGATTCCAGAACCTTCCGTAGCCAAACCCTAATTCAGCATTTCAGGGCCCGAGGGGGAATCGTTGATCGCAGGTGGGAGATTCACGGCCCAGCCCGACCCGGGGCCGAGCAGGGGTCGGGACCGAGCCCTACTCCGCCCGGTTGGTTCTCCGCAGGTCGCTTTCATCGTAGTCTGCCTCGGCGCTAGGTCGTCATTTGGGCCAGCCCGTTACGTCGCGGGCCGATCTCCCTCAATCGATGATATCGGGCTTCAACTCATTGTCTCATTTCGGGTCGTTTTTGTTCTCTATAACAATAGCCCCTACTCTCAAAACAGAAGACGAATAACTGTGTCAAGATCTTTATTTTGAAAGTACCTGTCGCTTGTCGTTACCACGAGATCATTCTATAACATAACCTAACTTATATATATATCAGTGGCTAATAATGTGAAGGTTTCTAACGCACAGAGCTTCTACTAAAAGCTTTTGATCCAATTTTGGATTTTAGCTGCTTGGTTCCTGCCATTGGTTTTGTGCCTTGAGCTTGTCGATACTATTCATGAATTGGAAGTTTTTTTTTCCAATTTTCGTTGACCACAATCAAGTCTCCTGAGCTTGGTTTTATTCTCATATGAGTTTAAACTATTTACTTTTGGCTTGGTGATCTAACTTTAACGGAACTAATGTTGATACCTTTGGATTTCTAACTTGCCTGACTTTTTATGTCAAACTGTTTTATATCCTGTATTTTTCTGCTTTAGTTTTGACCATACTGAACTGTTACTTGCTTTTTGCCTGTTTAGCTTGCTTCTAGGTTTGTTCCAATTTTGAGTTTCTTGATTCGTCGTAGATATGTAGATATTCATATGATTTGTTCCCTCGACTGACCGAGAAAAACAAGTGAAAGAGGCATCTTCCATTCATATCGATTTTGGTTTTTCTGCACCATATTTAGATCTGCCTCTTCTTCGATCCGGAATTCCCAGCAAATCCTTGACTCCTCGAATACAATGGGATTTCACACCTGGCGTCGAAAAGATTGAGAAAAATCAGTCTAGCCCCCTGCTTGAGAAATTTATTTCAGAATGAACATAAAAACTCAAGTATCACGTCGAATGTTGAAGACTTTATTAGTAGGAAGATCATCTTGTCGAAGATTTAGTTACGATAACTTTAGTTGGTCCAAATAATGGAAAAACATAAAAATGTCTAGAAATATGTCGAACTAGTGGTAGTATGTTTTGAGGTGTTGAGGATGCCATGGGTATAGTAAGGCCTTCCCCCGTTGGTCTTCTAGAGCATAAGTGTCTATTTGCACCACTTTAGTGACTTTGTATGGGCCTTCCCATGTTGGTCCGAACGCCCCGCTAGTTGAATCTTTGGTATTGGACATAATGTTTCTTAACACCAGATCACATTCTTTAAAGTCACGTTCCTTAACCTTCGAGTTGTAGTATCGAGCTATTCGATTTTTGTATTTAGTCGTTTGTAGCCGTGCTGTTTCTCGATGTTCTTCTAATAGGTCGAGGTTGAGTTGTACGGATTCGTTGTTGTCAAGTAGACTGAACTGCTCTACCCTTGAGGAGGGGAGTCCAATTTCGACTGGCACTACCGCTTCAGTACCAAATGATAGTGAAAATGACGTTTCTCCTGTCGAAGTACAAGGTGTTGTTCTGTAGGCCCATAATGCATTGTCGTACTGCTTTTCATTATCACTGATAATGGTGTAGGGTATTCCAAGGTGGCAAATTATATATTGTCGAACTCTTTCCCATTATCACATAATAGAAAAAAATAATATCTTTTTGCAAAGGTAAATAAAAAAAAAAATAATATCATAGAAGTTTCTTAGCACGTAAGTGGATTTAATAATTTGCCACGATTTACACCAACCTTAATTTTGTCGTTATTTCAAAACTACCATAGTTTTGTTTTTTTTTCCTTTCAAATACATTCCTTTTTTTTAATGTTATCTTTATTCATAATAAATAAATTCATAATTATTCCTTTGGAAGGCCATTGAAAAATCATAGGTATGGACAAAAACCCAACCAAACCCTTTTTAAAAGGATCCAAACGAACCATGGTAGATTTAGAAAATAAAAAATAAACAAAGTCAACTCCAATGAAATTGATATATAATTCAATTTAGTAATTTACAATTCAATCGTTACATACACCATTTTAAAAATATTACATATAAATATGATAGTCAATTTTATAAGTAGTCGTCCTCGTCTATTTAATCAAAGTATAATTTTAACACAAAAATTAATCCAATTATCTAACACAATGATTAGGTTTAATATATCTGCATACATATTTTCAAACCTCGCTTAATTACGATATTAAATATTCTATATTAAATTTATAATTATTTATTTATGCATTCAAAATTAATTTTATATACTAAACTTAGTTCAATGGTAATTGACACTAATTTCTGACTAGTCATGAGTTCGAATATTAAAAACCATTTTTATACTTAGTGACATGTAATCTTCCTCACCTAAGTTTAGATTTATTTACTTCATAACTAAAATTCAACTACATGTCTAAAATATCTATGACTTATTCAACATTTTTAAAAATTAAACATTAAATTAAAAACTAGAACACCAATTTATTTATTTAATTTTTAGTACAATATGTGGGACTGAGAGATCGAATTCACAACCGTTGGAGATATATGCCAATTACTGCTTCGCTTTGGCAGAACACCAATTTATTTATTTAATTACAACGTGTAAGGATGAAAAATTCAAACTCATGACTTTTTAATCCGACTATGTCTTAATCAATTGAGTTATACTACAAATTTGAAAAATAATCAACCAAAAAATAATTGACTTCTTGACCAAATATTGTCCACACCATCATTGAAAATTTGATAACTCGTTATTTTGTTTAGAAAAAGTATATGTATTTTATTTATCTCTTTTAGTTTCATTAAAGAACAAAGTATTTTCCACAAATTATATATTTACTAATATGAGCGGTAGTTAGCTTCAAATTTATTATATCTTAAAAAAACGAATTATTATATACTTGAAAAGTGACAATTTAACCCAAAAAGAAAAATCCCTAGTTCTCAGAGTCTCCACTCCGCTTCTTAGCAAACCCCCATTTTTCTCTCACCTTCGTCCTTCATTCGCAGGTCCACCACTAGCAGCAATGGCAGCAAGCCAATACAGCAGTCACCATCAAAACGCAGCCGAATTCCACACGATCTTCTTTCCATTCCCCATGGAATCTAGAAAAAGGGAAAAAGGAATCATTTAGTTGTCAATGTTACCTTCTCCGCGACAACAACACTCTCTCTCTTTCAGTCTCCGCTGACACTGTCCATGGAAATCTGAATCTCAGTAAGTTCTCGACTCATACCTACCTCCTCCTTGGAGTTTTCTGAAGTTCATGTGAGCATATTTGTTTTTAGCTTGAAATTCGAGAATAGAGTTTACTTTCATTGCTTAGGTCAATAGTCGGCGAATCCATCTGCAATCTGGAATTGAAAACATAGCGTCTGTGTAGAAACTGAGAGTCAACTTCTGCGTCTTTGTTTATTTTGTTAGTTGTCCTTCCGCAGGCTTTTCTGCTCCTATATAAATCGGCAACTGGGGGTTACGTTCCAAAGCATCGTTAGCACCATTCATTCAAAAAAGTTGCAAAACGTTTTCGCCTTATTTCTTCATAATGGCCCAGCAGAGTCCCGATCCTCCTCCATTTGACCCAGCTGAGCCGTCTACTCCTATTGCTTACCCGATCAAAACTCTTCAGGACCTCGAGTCCAGGGCCTACTTCAAGTCATTTCACTACCCATTTAACAGAGCCACGGTTGCTCTCCAACCGGCGCTGTTGCCTGATCGGCGTAGGATGCTTGTTTGCCATGATATGGCTGGTGGATACCTGGACGATAAATGGGTTCAGGGAGGAAGTAATCCAGATGCTTATGCGTTGTGGCATTGGTATTTGATCGATGTTTTCGTGTACTTCTCCCATGATTTGGTCACGCTTCCACCTCCATGTTGGACAAATGCAGCTCACAGGCACGGTGTCAAGGTACTTCTACTTACTCTATATTCTTTGTTTTACTAAAACAAATAAATTTACTATTATGAGTTCACTGATTTGTTTTACTAAAAGAAACATCTTTGTTTGCTTACTGTTATTGTTCTTTTTTCCTTTTAAATTTAGTTTTTATTTTGCAGATAGCAACTTGAATCTTTGATCTATGGAGAAAATTAGTTATCACTTAACTGTTGAGCTATGTGATGATTGGCGCTTATTATTGTTAAGGTGTTAAAAAGTTGGCAATCTATCATGGTTGGCTTAGCTTATAAGTTTTTGGAATAAAAATTAATTTTTATCATTTGGTTGAGTGACTTAATTAAACATTAAAGTTTTAATTTTATCAAATTTAAAATTTTGATAAATTGTAAAGTAATATCTTTATAAAGATTAATTAGAACTCAATGGGTAAATCACACCTAAAATTTTATCAAATTTAACTCTAAAATTTTGATAAGTGGTAAAGTAATATCTTTGTAAAGATTAATTAGAACTCAATGGGTAAATCACATCTAAAATTTGAACTCCCAACATCACGGTCCGTAGCTACATTATCTAATTCTTTGAGCTATAGTATAGGAAAGTTTATTCTCTCTAACCATCTGTCGTTTTGAGTTAAAGGAGATGTGGAAGTGCCCCTTTTCTTTTAAGAAAACTGTGTTGAGTGTGAAATGCGAGAGAAAAGTGGAAGAGGAGTTTCATGACCAAAGTTTTTATTTTGAATGAGAACTTTTCATTTTAACTCTTTTCGTATTAAATGTCAAATAGTAATAATATTTGGAGCTTTTAGTTTTAAGCTTTTCTCACCCAGAGTGTTTGTGTTTGTTTTTGGCCCTACAATTTTCACTACTGTATTGTCATTGCAGAAAATTTTTCTAATTTGATATTGACATACTTTTAAGTATTCTTTTTTAATAATTTTAACTTAATACATGTGTTATTGATTTTAATCATCAGATAGCTTTTCATATATATTACACATATTAATTAATGATTCCATAAATAATTTTTCTATCACACTAGGAAAATGATAAATAATGAGTTTCTAATACTTTTTTCATTGAACTAAAAATTAAAAAACTATTAATTTGAGAAATATATAAGTCAGTAGTTTATTTTGACTCCTGTTAGATCAAAACCTATGTTATGCAAGTATTTTGTGAAGTAAAATGCTAGTAATATATTTATACATTATCAGTACATGTTATAATAATTTATAATAAAAAAGTTAATATTATTAAGAATTAAAATATCATTGATAATATTTTGAAAAGAATTCTCATCTCATTTTATGCTCCTGTACATTTTAAATAAAGATGTATTCATATTGTTAAAAATCTTGCTCATTGGTTTTCCGTATCTTTCCAAAGAAAACTGCTTGTAAATCATTTATTTTCTCATTGAAATGTCAAAGAATGAATCAAATGAAGAAGAAACAAATAAAATATTGATGACATTTTTGAAAATGATTGAACTAGGAGAGATTTGTCCATTGTTTTCCTTTTACTACAATAATGATAATATTAGTTAAATGTTATGAATGTTGATGTAATAAAAAAATAATTCTATTTTGTATTTGAATTTCTTTTCCTGAGTTGTATATAAAAAACCTTAATCAATTACTTTATGCTATCGTTAGTCCTACTCTTCAACCGGGACCAAAAAAAAAAAAAAAACTCGTAACATTCACTTTATCCAGTTAGTAATTCATAGTTATGTATATAGCTATTTGTAAACAGTGGCGAGTTTACTTACGACCGCTATAGTGTTATGATAACTAAAACAAATGCTTTTTTAGTAGTTACAAATTTATAGTGGTATTGAATCTATAGGTGCTAGGAACTTTCATTGTGGAAGGAGGGGGGAAAGCTGTTTGTGATACATTGCTTTCAACAAAGGATTCTGCTCAAATGTACGCGGAGCGCTTAACTGAGCTTGCTGTTGCATTAGGATTTGATGGATGGCTGGTATTGTTATAAAGTTTTCCTACCTGGGCTGCAATTTTTTTGTCTTCATAAAAATGGTCCATATTAATCCCATAGCTTATTGGGTGTAAACACTTCTTTACAACTTACTTGTTCTTCACTTGTCCTTTCCTGATTTTTCAAGCATGGTGTATTTACGCATTATCAAGATATGAAATCTGGACGATTCAGTCCTTCTGGTCCAAGGATTAAGCCTGAAAGATATATATTTATGCTAAGCATACAGATATCATGTTGTCCCATGTAAGGCAATATAATATTCTTTAGTTGGCCATCTATAAGACCCCATAAGGAAATCCAAACAGTTGAAACTTAAATATAGGAATCAGAATAAATAAATTTATTGAGTTAAAATTATGAATTGAGCCTTGATATCTTGTAGTTTCTTCTTCTCATTGTTGAAATAAAATCTGTTCATGCAGATGAATATGGAAATCTCTTTGGATTCTCAGCAAATTCCTTATTTGAAAGAATTTGTCAGCCATTTGACCCAGTCGATGCATTATAAACTACCTGGGTCTTTAGTTATATGGTAAGTCGTGAGATATGTTCTATTCATAATATTCACATTTTTGACCTTATGCAAATATATGTATTGACTGCTGACTTCTGGACAGGTATGACAGTGTGACTGTGGATGGTGCACTAAACTGGCAAAATGAATTGAATGAAGAAAACAAACCTTTCTTTGATATTTGCGATGGTATATATGTAAACTACTCATGGAATGTAAGAAATGAATTCTCTCATAACTAATAAGAAATTTGATGTACGATCTCAATTTTATCTCTCTGAAAAGATGACATCAGACCAAAAATTTCATTTGTCATACCAGGAGGATACTCCTAGACGTTCTGCTACTGTTGCTGGAGAGAGAAAGTATGATGTGTACATGGGCATTGATGTTTTTGGGAGGGGTACTTATGGTGGTGGAGGATGGCACGTAAGCCTACTAATCCTGCGCAATGTATTGAAATGTCGTGTCATTAGTTAAGAAGCATCATAGTCTGTATAATTTGGACACCTTTATAGTCATATGAGCTTGCAACTTGTTAAAAAATTCTGCAATTGACGTCTAACCAATTATATGTCTGCCTGTGTATTCTGTGCATTTCCACACCTTTTCGACTTTCAAGTACAAAATAACGTTGTGGTCTAGTTTCTGTTTTGATTTATATTGAGTTCAATTATTGTTCCAATTGAGAGTTGATAGAACTAATCTTTCAACCAAAAACTGCTTCATGTCAGACAAATGTTGCGCTGGATGTTCTGAAGAGGGAGAATGTTTCGGCTGCCATATTTGCTCCCGGATGGGTGTATGAGCATGAGCAGGAAACAGATTTTCAGACTGCTCAAAATAGGTAAGTTAATGATCTGGAATTAATTTTTGATGTGATCATGTCATACTATTCTCGTACCTACCATTATCCACCTTTTGAAATTTCTTACATTAATTTATTTCTTCATGATAATTACGAACAACTTTTTAGTGTCATAAGATTCTCAAACTCTGTTCTGATGTTACTTTGAAGGATATAATCCTTGTATGCTTTGTCCTGGAAAAGATGTTTTTCTGGTTAATGTTCATCATTTCTGACTTAACCTTCTGATATCTAGTCATTCTTTCAACACTTAATTGCTGCTCGAGACTCTAGTTTTACATCCTTCTTTGGATGCTTCTTGCTGCCTTGCAATTATTCTGAATGTCATTATTGTATAATTGTGTGATCGTGAATACCTTATGTATCGTGAGTAGTGAGAAGAGTCACAATTGAACATCTTACGAGATATTAATGAGGTTCCATCTTGTCTACTCTGGACTTAACAGTTGGTGGAATCTTGTGAAGAAATCATGGGAAATAGTGCGAAGTTACCCAAAACAACTACCAATCTACTCAAATTTTGATCAGGTTAGAACTGTGCCAGTTAATGTGTTCCTTAAACAAGGGCTCAAGCATTTGAAAGGTTTTTAAAGTTTTCTAGTATATGGTTAGTGGAAACGGAAGTGCATGGCTTAAAGGTAGGATGAATTAGTAGTGGGTATAAGTCTATGATCATACTTTTATCAACTTTGATTTAAAGCAGCAAATCCTAATAAATAAATTTCAGATTCTTCGAGGATGTCCAGTAAGTCGTCCTACTTTCTAATTTGATATCATCAAATGGATCTATATAAAGTTTTGAAGGTATAAAATACATGACAAAAGACTTCGTCTGAGTATTTCATTTTCATCGCTTGGATCAACTTCATCTGTCATTTTGTAAAAAGTGTCAGTAATTGCACAACTACAAATGGTCTTGTCAGATGTGTGATCTCTCTTGCATGAAAATAGCTCACTTTCTAATTGCTAGATAATAAAAAATTTTAATTATCGGCTCTCTTTGGGATAAACGTTGACAAAGAAGAAATTAAAAGGAAAGCTATCACCCTAGGATGCCACGATAAATATGTACCTATTTCATACCTTGGAATGCCCCTAGGAAGAAAACCTTCTTCTACCTTCTCTTGGGACCCGGAGGCCCCATATTTCTAAAGGTGGAAGACTTACCTTGGTTTACTCAGTCCTCACTGGCATCCCCCTTTACTATCTCTCCATTTTTTGCATTCTGAGTAAGATTAGCAGTTCCCTCTATAAAATTATAAGAGATTTTCTTTGGGGAGGAGCTAGTAAGGATGCAGGAAGCCACCTTGTGAGATGGATTAAGGTGACTGCCTCAAAATTATCGGGGAGGTTTGGGTGTGGGTGATTTTAGAAGAATAAACAAGGCTCTTTTGGCTAAATGGCTTTGGAGATAATCTACAGAAGACAGACAATTCTCTATGGAAATCTGTCATAAAGCAAATATGGGCGAAATGAAAGCAAGTGGTTTCCAAATCAGCTTTAAAAGAGTCAACTGTAGTCCTTGTTGAACATCTGCAAAACTAGAACTTCTTTTGAGGAGAATTAAGAATATAAGATTCAATTCGGGAGACGGAAAAAAAAATTAGTCTGGGAGGACGCTTGGGTCTCCACAAGGCCACGAAGTACTGTTTTCTCCTCTATCTACTCAGTTGCAAACTCCAAATCTCTACCAGTTCAGAACTGATGGTCTGTCTCAAAATGTCTCGGTTGTGCTCCAAAATGTCCATCCCTGACAAATCTCATATCACATTTCCTGGATTCCTGAGTCGTCAGGGTGTTTCTCTGTAAAGTCAGCTGCTAATAATCCTTCATGGAAAGTCTTCCTACTTGGATATTTCTCTCAGTTAATTGTTGAGGAAAGGAAAAAGTCGCAAGAAAGTAACTTTTTTTCTTTTGGACTTTGGCATGCGGCAGCCTAAATACTATGAATGGAATCCAAAAGAGAAACCCAAACCAAGCTTTATCCCCAAATGGTGCCTTCTTTGCAGCAGAAACGCAGAAACCATCAGCCATCTTTTTCTTCAATGTCCTTTTGCATTCAAAGGATGGATTTTTCTCTTCAGATATTTTGACTTCGCCTGGTGCCCTCCCAAAAACGTGGAAGATGGTCTAATAGAATTAATGTTTGGTTGGTGGTTCAAACACAAAGCCAAAGTTCTTTGGACAAACGCCTGTAGAGCTCTCCTTTGGATTCTCTGGAAGGGGAGAAGAATTACTTAGATACGTCATCGTCTTTTGAAATATTTTGTGATCTGATCATGTACAACAGCCTCGAATTGGAGTACCTTACTGGCTTACACACATTTTTTTGTACTATCCAGCCTTTCCTTATCAACTTAGATTGGAGGCCTTTTGTTTTTTATCCTCCTCATTAGGCTCTGGGACCGTCATCCTTCAGGCCTTTAGGCTGTTCTCCCTTTTCCCTTTAACATGAAGGTTCTGTTTCTCATAAAAAAACATTATTGTTCAGTCGAAGTCTCTCTTTCCATGTTTCCAGGGTCATGGTTATCATGTTTCCATAGATGGAGTACAAATATCAAATGCTTCTTGGAACAATCTTTCCTGTCAAGACTTCCAGGTAAACAATATATCCTTGGGATTTTTGAGATGCTTGCTTTTCTTTAATCCTTCTCCACATTAAATGGTCTTATGTCTTTCTTACATTAAATGGTGACTACCCTTTTGAAATTCTCCTTTCTCAGCATCTGTTCTAACTTCTTGCAGCCTATCCTTGAGGTAACTGATGCTTCAACTTCAGATTCTATCCAAGCTCATTTAGAGTAAGTAGCAAGATTCATATCCATTTTCTGATCAATGGGACTATCTGGTGATGGGTGCATTTCTTTTCTTGATATTTAGAACTCTATGACTTTTATAATCATTGGTTCAATCATGCATGGAACCATAAGGCTACAGTATTAGAATGCTGTTTGAATTTTTTCTTTTTTATTTTCTTTTCATGTCTTTGAGTTAACAAAATGTCTTTATTGTTGCATTTGTTGGCCCGTAGATCCACTTGTTTCTAATGTCTTCATGGATTTGGTAGTTTTAAAGATGTCTTTAACGGAGGAGGAAGCATTGTACTGAAAGGTAATCTCGACGAAACTTGCTACACCGAAATAAGGCTCTTTCAAGGAGAGATTCTTTTGGGGGATTCGCCTCTGCTCTTCATGTACTTTGTAAGTGAACTCTTCCTGCATTGAAGGTCTAGAAATGACACTTGACAGGGTCTTTTGTTCATTTAGTTCAACCATGACTTAATCTTTGCAGTTGAAGTCGACCAGGGATTCTCGACTAGGCCTTTTGTTCGAGTTTCTTTCTAGCACAAATAAAAGAAAGTTACTATATGCCTCCAGCAGCGAGAAGCGGTTCTCAAATGATTTCTCGGAAGTGATTGAGACAAGTCCTCGTGCATTCCCTGGAATTTCCCCTGACTGGTTCATATACGAGGGCACTGTCCGAATGAATGGATACAAACTAACAAGTATAAATATTGTATGCTATAGGTCAAGCCCTATATCTAATATACCAAAACACGAATCTGGGCCGGTTAGGGACAATAACATGCTCCCTCCTGATCCATCTGAATACTTTGCAGTGCTCGGTAATTTTGCTTTACGATCTTCTGATGAACAACGAGATCTTCCTCCCTACGATTCGTGGCTAGTTGAAAGTCAATTCATTAAATGGACTCCAGGTCCAGAGGGAACACAAACTCTTGACATTAAGATCATTTGGAAGTTGAAAGATGACAGTAGTGATACGGTATTCGACCACTACAATGTTTATGTCGTGAAAGTAGCCGAGAAAGGCGAAAATCGCCACGGTGGATTACCAAATGTCCCGGAGTATCTCGGGGTGGCACATGTAGAAGCTTTTTATGTTTCTAACCTCGCAGTTCCTTCCAGCACCTCAAGTCTCAAATTTATAATCCAAGTTTGTGGAGTGGATGGGAGTAGCCAGAAGTTGGAGGACTCTCCATTTCTCTATTTGGAAGTTGAAGGTTAGGAAGTTACTATTATGCCCATTTAGTATGAATTTCCTTTCTTCATGATGTAATGTATTTCTGTAGTATCAGACAATGCCAAGAACTTAGGTGATTTTAATTGAATAATGGCAGGAACTCTATTAATAATTATTCATCTTGAAAGTTTTCATTTCTTCTCTCACTTGTAATTTTCAGGTTCATATAGCAACTTTGGAGCTGGTAGGAAATTGGTTTGCCGCATTTGATAATCATTTGGTTTTTGAAAATTAAGGGCTCATTAGGTAACGATTTCGGATTCATTAGGTAACGTTTCCTCTTTTTTAATAAATAAATTGTAAGTTTGGTAATTGTTTGTTTTTCTAATTGAAAAAAGAAAGCAGAAATATGTTTGGTAATAATTTTGTATTTCTCGTTCTCTAAAATTTTATATATGAAAACCAATTTTTAAAATTAAGTATTTAAAATTTGTGTCTTGTATTTGTTTTTTTTAATATTTTTATATGTCAAAAAGGATAATAATACTGGAAACAGGGACCATAAATAAAACAAAAACAAAATCATGATTTTGTTGTATTTCAAAATTTCTACAATTTTGTAAATGTTTTTTTAAAAAATTAGAACAAGAAATAAAAACTTACCAAACGAGTCCTAAATGATGTATTCAAATTCAAGAAGTAAATTTGTTATACATCGTATAAAATTCAGTAATGCTTAGTTTGAAATTGTTGTAGCTTTTTAAATAATTGCTGTCAACTGTACTTATATGAAGGTAAATTTTAGTTTTAAAATTAAAAAGCAGGTCACAGTGCGGGTAAATTAATAGCACACTGTTGTGATTTAGCTAATATGTATAATGCTCGAGCTACACGTCACTTGGGTTGCCGTGACATGGTTTTACGGTGCGTCGTGGTGAAGCATGTATTTGAATTTCCTGTACAACATTGGTCATTCGGCTTGGTGCCTTCAAAATTCTGAGAAATTGATATATTCAAGGGAATCGACGTCGATGGAAATGTTGATGTCTCAATTTCATGGAATTATTGATGGAAATATCGATTAAATGTCGTCGTTGATAAATGTTTTTGATATTATGTATATATTAATGACATTTTGTTCATATTCTCATATTTTGTTGATTTTTTTGTACTATGACAGAAATATCGATTTATCCATCATAACGATGTCGAATCCATGAAAACATTGACATATCGATGGATATTTAGAATCATGTCGACGGATATTTAAATTTTAAACCCATAGGATGAATTCAAGTAATATGAATCCATCTTGAAAATTAATATGTCAAAGTGAGTCTAACTCAACGATAATTGACATAGGTCATGGGTTCGAATTTCCTCTCTGTATTAAAATAAATATCGATCTTTATTTGGTAGCTGGCATGATAACTTTGAAAAAACTGTAACATTATGTTGGATAATTTATAAGTATTATTACGGGTTTTTTTTTTTTCTTGAGTTAAAAAATTTTACAGTTAAGTAATTTTCTTTTATACAAGTTCGCAAAATCTGTAATCAAACTCGCCAAAATTAAGTTGATGTTTTCGAATTTCAATCTCTATGATACTAAAGTTATTAATCAAACGGTCTAAATTAATTAGCTCAATCAATTTTTTTCTATTTTGCATTAAATCACTGTGAATTTTTATTTTAAATATTAAAATACCCATTTCCTTACAATTTAGTTTTGTAGTTCAAAATTTAAAACAATTTAGATCTTAAATTTTGATATGTGACAATTTAATCTCTGTAATTTTAAATTGATTTAACATATTGTTGGAGTGATTTAACCATTTTTCAAAATTTGGTCATGTCAAAATCACTTATAAATATGCATAATAGTTTATCAAGTTATTTTAAAAAACGGCAAAAGTGAGTCATTCCCAAACATGCCCTTAGTGCTATAAAAATATTATTAAGATATAATGAGATGTTTGAGGTATGTAAAGACCAAATCCATTTTCAAACTATATGTATGAAATGATTATATACTAAATATTGATAATGGAAATTTTTAACGTAGAAACTAAACGATTACATAAATTTAAACTACAAAAGAGTAAATAATTGTAATACTAAAATTAAAGAATTATACAATTTAACTACATATAAAAAGTTGATAAACTAAAGCTTAGTTTGAGATTACAGTAACCTCTTAAATAATTGCTATCAACAGTTGTAATATAAACAAAATTAGTGTTTGATTAAGTAATAGTATGCTATTGTGATTTAGCCACAAATATGTATAAAGTTGTATTGATATTTAATTTAATTTAAAAAAAAAACATTATTTTAAAATTTTACAAGTGAATTAAAATTACCCACAGTTTCAGCTTAACATGAATGTTTGTTTTAATATTTGAGAGTCAGTGTAAAATGTAAATTAGTAATTAGTAAAGTAAATAAAAGAGGTAGCAGGGAAATTGCGGTGCCTTCTGGGTAAGTTTATTGGCGTCGGCTTAGGCCTCGTCCGCGCACATAGCTCACTGGCAATGGCAATGGCGGCAGAGTTAGTTATTACTTATTAGACGAACCCAACAGATTCGAACTCCATTGCCATTGCCATTGCACTTCCTTCATCTTTCTCCTCCATTTTCCTTCTTCTTCTTCTCTTCTCCGGCTATCTGCTTCATCCACAATGTTCTACTCTCATCAGCTTCTCGCACGAAAGGCTCCTCTAGGCCAAATCTGGTAAGCTCGTTTTTCAATCTCAATCAGCTTCGATCGGTGCTGTCTTTCTTAAACTTTGCAATTGGTTTTCGGTGTTTCCTGTTCCGATTACTTCACAGGAGATATGGATATATACTTGATTTACATTTATCACAGTCCGTTTCCTCCTGAATCGATAGCTTTCGATGAACTTCTGTGTTTTTCGCAAGTTGAGATCATCAACTGTATTCTGCCATTTTCTGTATCTCTTCTATTTTATATAGGATGGCTGCTACAATGCACGCGAAGATCAATCGGAGAAAGCTCGACAAGCTGAACATAATCAAAATTTGGTAATCCAAAATAAAACTAAGCTAAGTTTCTTCTTCAATCGGTAAATGCTAGTTTAGTTTTGAAATTCCTGCGGGATTTTGCAGCGAGGAGATTTTGAATCCTTCAGTTCCGATGGCTCTCAGACTCTTGGGGATTCTCATGGGTAATCGTTTCTCAATCTCTTTGAATTTTCCAGATCTTTGACGCTCTGTTTCATCTCGGTAACAGTGTAGTAGTATCTCTGTTCTTCATTTTTTCTCAGGCGGTGTTGTCATTGTCTATGAACGAAAAGTTAAAATCCTTTACGGTAACCTTCTAGTCACTTCTAATGAAGGAATATAATGTTTTAGAGTTCAAACGCGGTATCTGAAGGATTGTGTAATTTGTTTTCCTGTTTCATCACAGAGGATGTAACTCGCCTTCTGGTAATTACTCGACTCTTTAGAGTTCTAACAACAGAGTACCGTTTTTTTTTTTTATCTTCTTCAAGAGATTGTGTTGTTTAGCTTCGTTTTCCGTTTTCTCAGGTTGAGTTAAACGAAGCGTGGAAGGTGAAAGCAGCTCCAGAGCCCACTGTCATTCCCAAAGGAAAATCTCTGGCTAAGTCCGTCGCCCCTTTCCTTCTTTTTAGACTCAGCAATGGATGAGCATTTAATTAACTATTTATTTCCAAAAGGAATGCGTGTGCGTTGTGGCTATTAATAGCTTGAATAAGAAGGTGATTTCGGCTATGAAATTTTTTGGGTTGCGATTTTTCATAGGTCCATAGTGCAATAAGCTTTGATGATTTTGACTCTTGGCAACGATTTTAATACGTCCATAGTCCAAATTGAAAATGATTTGAATCCGAGTTAAGAAGCTGATTTTGACACTAAATTTGTTTGGTTATGTTTCCATATCTCTCCGGTAAAAAAAATATGGGTATTCACGGGTTGGGTTGTATAGGAAATGTCCCAATGTTTTCGAGTTGGGTTGAATTGTCTGGTTGTGTTTCTAATTTTTAATTATCGTAGCGACGGGAGTTCGGATTAAAACTAAATGGACGAATGAGATTGAAATACAAAATGGGAGAATATAAGATAAAAATGCTAGGATTATTAGAACTAAATGAACGGTTGATATTGTGTATGTATATATATATATTCGATTCGGGTTAGATTGACCCGATTTTTGAACCCAATATTCAACCCGAAAATCACAACCCAACCCAACTTGAGGCTTCATCTAACCCAATTGGATTGGGTTAGTCGGGTTGTTAGGTTTTTTTTAACACCCCTAGTAAAAAATAAGTTAAGAAAGTTTCTCTACTGTGGATTTAATTGGTTATGATTTACATATGTCCAACCAAATATACTCAGGAAGGAGGCTATCACTCGGCCTAAGAAGGATCCGAAAGAAGTGGGAGACCATGAGACACAGTCCATTAACTTCTCCCACAACACCTCTCCCATGAGGTTCCAACAAACCGCTTTTTTTACTATGGTAAGCCTTTCAACAGAACGTCCTTTTTGGGTTCAGCAGTCTACAGAAATTTAGTAGTTCCCATTTAGGTTTATGCGTCGTGCTAGTCCACTGTACTTGAGAAGTGGAATTGGGAGATCTCAATCCTAATAAGTRACGCTGCGATTAGTTTATGAGAAAGATTTTCAGTATAGAATAGAACCGTTGCGCATTGGCTTAGAAGGAACTGATTTGTTTTGGTGATTAAACAAATTATAGGAGCTTGGTAGTTCTGTTGTTAACAATTCCTATTTCTTGAACAATTACCAATTATTGATTGATAGAGTTTTCTGTGTTTGCAGCGGCTTGACAGTGTGGATATTGGACAATATATCAACGACAAAACAGGGGAAGATGATCCGTCACAACAGCTCCATCAAAGTTTTATTCTGTCGCTTGAACTCATTATCGCTTATTTTCTGAATTTATAATGCGTTCTACCTACTAATGATTTTGGTTGATCTCTTGCTCAGCTGATGCTGAAAATATAACCTTACTCGAGCGTTTTGATATGTATCAATCAAATACAAATACATTCAATCAGTTTGAAAGGTGAATTACTTACCARCRTACATATAACTTTAAATCTCTCTGCCAAAAGAAACTGCATCACTTTCTTGTGCTGGATTTGCAGATTTGATATTGAAGAGGATGAGGAAACACATCTGAATTTTGCTTTTTGAGAACAAACACAAATTCCAGATACTTCAAGACCTTCCCCTCCTCCTCAAGACATGCACCGAGAAGGTAAGATACATTTTCATGACTTAGTTCTGAAGAGAATAGCCCCTACTCTTTTTCTCTCACTTTCTCAATATCTTCTTCTTTCCAT